CCAGGAGCACCACTGCAGTAGAATCATCAAAGTCAGTAAGTTGTAAATAAGAGTGAGGATCCCCCAAACAGATCTCTTCCAGCATCAAGAAGTGTCATTCTGACACTGCACTCCACAGCCGTGGCTGTCACTTTTACTAGTTGCATAAAACAGGCTGTGGTCAACATTGACGTACACTGGAAAGGATAGAGCTCAGTCCAGTGCATGAGCAAGGCTTGCAGCAGCAACCAGCCCATACCTTGGGCCCTAATTTCTTGCTGCAGACCTGGAGTGCCCTGCTGAGTTGCCCAGATAGTGGCTTCCAGGGCCGCGTTCCTCCTGGCTTGTCTTCCTCCTGTCTCTCTGATTCCTTGTTTCTGGCTGTACAGTGCCATGGGTTCAGTAGCTGAGTTGTTCTGTGCCCATTTTGCACTGAAGATTTTTTCAAAATAACTCCAAAGAGTTCAAATACCATCTTAGTGAATTGGTGTCATCTTATCACATGTAGAGTTATGGTACAGGCTGGACCCTGCTGGCTGGGTATGTGGGGTTTGTTTTCTCCACTGTAGGCAGGGCTTAGAAGCACCTTTCTGATGGCTCATGGTAGCACCCATCTGACCTAGCTGAGCACCAGGAATAAGCCACCAGTGGAGAATTTGGCCATGCCTGACTTCTCTACTCATGTCAGAGCTGGTTTTCACATGTTTTCATATGTCTCAGTTGTACAGACTTAATTAACCATTTAAAGTCATTTCGTTGCCATCTCTTGTCCATCAAAGCTTGTAGATTAGAAGATTATTTGCCTTTTATGCCAAAGGTTTTCTTATCTAGCTTATAAAAATACAGCCTTTACCTCAGTCATCCCTGTTTTGTGATGAATACCTGTTATTTTTTCTTAAAATTTAACTCTCTTTTTGATGGCAAATCTCCATGCAATTTGCGCTTCATGTTTTTTTGCAAACAGCTGACTTGATTTAGAGAAGTAGATGTAGTCCTTGTGGAGGTATTCTTTGTGCAGGATGTACCTTTATTTGGATTCAATTTAATAAGGAGCTACCACAACTGGAATAAAAGTGCTCTATTTCAGTCATAGTATGTAACCTTGTTGTAGGTGGTTGTTCCACGCCTGTTTGTCATCCTTTTTGTAGACAAAACCTAGACCACAGGCTTTGAACTAAATATCAAAAGGCTCTTGAAGATATTTTAGGGTTTTGTTTTCTTGTAAGGGTCTCTTAATCACAGTAGGGGCTTTTGGTTTGTTGTTTTTTTTTGTTGTGGTGGTGGTTTTTTTTTTCTTTTCTGTAGCAAAGGGGTTTCCTATTGGCTTTATAGTCACGCAAAATATATTTCAAATATTGTACGTTGTCACTGTTTTTTCCACTCCTCTTTAGAATACAGAAAGATGAAAAACTTCATCTGTCAACAAGGAAAGTTCAGGCCTTTTTTTGAAGCGTAGTTTCCATTGTCCAAGTGCCTTGTTGGTTTGTTGGTTGGTTGGTTTGTTTTCAGTGGCATTCTTTGTGTCTTCTGTGAGCTGTTCCTGCTCCCTGCAGCTTGATCGTTTTTCAGACACTATTTTACCACCAGGCATTTCAGTACATACCAAATCTCCCGACCATTGACCATCGCTATGGTGGATGGGTATTACTTCTCGTGTCCTAGTAGTGCAGCTAATGGGTCGGAGCTGCTGTGATCTTTTGTGGGCAGATGCTCCTGCTAGGTATGGGGCCCTGTCTAAGAGCTTGAAAGCAAACCTGATGGGCAGATAAGTGAGCAGGGAATGTGGGTCTTGTGCTTAACTTCTCACATACCTATACAGTATGTTTAGAGTAAGGAGCAGTTGGAAAGTGTGGTATTTTAAGACTGATTGTTTCTTTGAATAGTGAGTAGTCTGTGAGAAGCCTTGTGGACAGCCAAAGGTCGTTTCAGCTTTATAGATAAAACTAATCGCATTGTGGGATGTCAAAGGAAGCACAAGTTATTTAAAACTACAGATGTAAAGATTGCCTAGATGTAAATATCTTAATTGCCAGGGATGTGTGTTATTCATTGTTTAAATAGATTCTCATGTGTAATTGAATCATACACATATAACATATAAAATTAGCTCATTATCTCTTTCAAGTACTTGATAAATTGATATTTCCATCAATACAAAATTTTTGTTTAGGTTTGAATACCTAAAAATAACTGTTTTTTGGATACTAGTTGATATATATTTTCAGGCTAAGATCTAACCTAGCATCATAAAAATTAGCAAAACCTGTGATTTAGTGTTTGAGGAACTTGAGTGGTTTTTTAGGTTGAAACTGCCAGCAGGGCAGTCTGGAGGAGCTGTCCCCCAGGTATGTCACATAAAGGATAAATCTGCCTGATTTCAGCCCTCAAGTTGTGTTTTGCAACCAGAGCACTGTGTTTTGTGATCATGCTTCAAAGCAGAGCTAGAATGGGAAGTTCCATTAAAAAGTGTATTTAAACATTATAGGAAAAGGCGGCACCAACTCAGCGTGTACACTGTACAACTTAAGCTAATTTGGACCTATAACACATTTGGTAGAGAGAAGCTTTTAGCAGGAGGAGAGGTCTTTGAACTGCAAAAGTATTTTTTTTTTTTAAAGTTGGTAGTCAAAGATCATGCAATTTTTCATTATAATATAGGTCTTGGCTTCAACAACCTGCCCATAGTTGGTAAATTGGATAATTAAACTTTTTTAAAGAAGACCAAGTAGGCAGTCTCACACAGATTAAGTTTTGTTTTGCTTGAACTGTTGTGGTGAGAACAGCAGCATTACATTGGTTTGCTCTAGAACCTGTCACAGGGAATTCAGATACTGGTTTGGGGAATTGCTCCTGGGACGCCTGGTATGTACACTTGAAGCTGGTGGCTCTATGTTAAACTTCTATGCTGAAATCATGAAGCTGTAACATGCCAATAGGATAAAGTTAAACACAGTTCCCAGGTGATGCAATCAAATCATAAAGAAGCACCAACTGAAAGTCCAGTCCCAGTCATAAAAAAGAGCAAAAGTTTTTGTAAGTTGCTGTGACTTCCCTAAGTGGCAACAGTGCAAAGCAAGGAGTTTGCACTCTGTGCCTTACAGTGAGTGAACCTTCTGTTGATTTGTCATGTGCTCTTCTTCTCAGAGTCCATTTAATACAGTTTTTTTATAAGGGGGTGTGTGTGTGTGCACGTTCCTATTCGCATTAGTTTGAAAGACATGTCACACCGTGTATTTTTGACTGCTCCACAGTAAGGGGGTGGGTGGAGGAAGGCACGTGTATGTTTTGATTTGTTTGGGGTTTTTTTTGATTTTTTTCTGAAGCGTTCTAACTTTGAGTGGCTGTGGGTGCTTTGTTTGAAGTAAAGGCAGAAAACTTGCAATGATGAGCTTGGGTTTTATTTTATTTGCCTTGAAAACTTCATACAGGTAAAGATAATGAAAGGATCTGAAAATTGACCTTTTAGTTGTTTGAATGTTTCCTTGCAACATTGGAAACACAACCATGACAACATTGTGGTGGTATAGAAGAACCAAAAAATTTGGTTGAGCAGTCTAGTTCATTGTCCAAACTGAGTGAAATACTAAGTATGAATGGCATTTGAGAGAAAAAAAATTTAAAATCCTTTAATATGCAGTTTTAGCAATTCAGGTAAGGGAAACCTTTCTATTTTATTTTGAAAGTGTAAGAGTTACATTTTAAAAATCAGGACAATAAGGAAGAAGTGGTAAAACTATTCCTTTTCCAATTCCTTATGATGTTAGAAACAAAAAATTTTAAGGTGATTTGGAGCAAGAAGTAACAGCAAGAAACTTGGGATGAACTCATGCTCTAACCTATAAATCTGGGTTTTTGAGAAAAATCCAGATATTACTTTCACACCTTTTGTTCTGATCTATGATGGTGCTTTATTCAGCCATAGGAAGTTTTCTGTTATGCAATGTATAGACTTGTTCACAGACTTTTCCATTTGTCATTATTTAAGAAACATTTTGATAGCTTCACCTTTGTCAGTGCCTTAGGCTGATTTATTTGTCTTGTACTTTAAACACTGGTAGTATGAAATTTATGTCATTGGGTATTCTTTTTGTTTAATGTGGAATTACGGATTTTGCATGGAGTTTGCTTTTTACACGTTAGGAGACAAAAATTTGCAGGTTTAAATTGTGAGTGTTTGGAGTGTATTTGTTTCAAATGATACGTTACTCAAAGTAGATTTCTGGTTAGATAACTAAAAAAAAAAAAGCTGTTATGGTTGAATCCAGCATAACACTGGAGATTCATATGACCAGTTTCCATGTAACTGCAACTTTTCATGCTGCTTTTATGCTGAACATGAACTTTTTCAGACTGTAAAAAAGTCCATCTAGCAGACTTCACATGGAGGTACAAACCTCAGGTAGATTTAAATGGCATTACTGACAGTAACGGGTCTGTAAGCTGGCTTTGATGTCATCTGAACTTGAGAAACCCACTCTGCTCATGATGAAGGAGATGCTTGGGTAGAGGCCGTGTTCAAGGCCTATTTGAGCCTGGATGGCTTTTATTTGAATTATGTGATTATAGCCATCAGTACTTCAATCAAATACCAGCAGGTACCTCCACTTTGGTAGTGACAGGCAACTTTGTGCTTCCTGTAGCTGTTAGGCTTGGGCAAAATGTGGGAGAGTGAAAACAAACTTAGCATGTTGGTGCTCAGTGCTGCTCCTAAAATCCTAGCTGGTGTCTTTCGCAGTTAACCAAAGCAAAGTTATCAGAGAGTGGAAGAGCTGACCATGAAGATTACTGTAGGGGAAAAGGCTTGACACAGAAGCAAAGAATAAGACAGGGAAGACAGTCTTTTGAACTGAGAATTGAAGGCAGTTGAAACAGGGGAAATCTTCTAAATACTATGTGGAGTGTGAATGGATGAATTGTAGTAGTACAGCAGAGTTGGGGTTACTCTCAGCTTAACACACAAATATTGCTCTTGTGCTTTGTAGTGATGACTTGAGCTCTTACTGAAGTTTTTCTTAATGTAGGTTACACACTACAAGCAATATCCACCTAATACAAGCAAAGTATATTCCTACTTTGAATGTCGTGAAAAGAAGACTGAAAATTCCAAATTAAGGAAAGTGAAATATGAAGAAACTGTCTTTTATGGTTTGCAGTACATTCTGAATAAATACTTAAAAGGTAACTCTTTCAAATTCCAGTAAAACTTTACTTGTAAATAAATATCTTAATTTTTCTCAAGCCTTGCTGAAGTCTTTAGTTGAAACAATTCCAGGTTATCTTGGTACAGCGTAGGTAGTGACATGCATAAGAGAAGTCCAGCTTTGTAAAATGATAATGACTTCTTAAGTCAGACACCTCTTTACTGTATTTGTTTATGCCAGTGGTTTCTTGAAAATGAAGAGTTGTTCATATCACAACTTTTGTGGGCTAAATTGAAGTGAATGGAAATAGAACAAGACTGTGCATAGAATCACAAGAAGATAGAAAATTCAAGGGAAAATACATTTCACATTTTGAACATAAACTTTAGTCTGTATTTTCTGAATTTATTTACTGTGTAAACTAATAATGGTTTTAATTTCCCTTATGTTTCAGTTGCCATTTGGCTTAGATCATTGAATACGGCAGCTACATCTGAAAGTGTTTTCAATATTGATGATTTTAAGAGCAACATTTGAAAATTCCATGGTGCTGTTTAAGATTTTGTTTGCTTTTTTGCATTATGTGCAAATATCATCTTTTCTGACCTCAATGCAACTTGCTTTCTGACAAGCTTTAAAAGCAAAACTTCAGTCATATGACTTATATCCTTGTCTTGATCTAGAATCCATAAATATCTCTGCCAGTTCCACCAAATATTAGAATTTGACTATAACCAAAGCACTTAACAATCTTGTTTTTCTCTTCAGCAATCATAACGTTTGGTCCTACAGCAGTAGCAATGCTTATTCAAATACCATGGTTGGTCTGTCCATTCCTGTTACAAGGTGGTCACTCAAAGACTGGTTGTAAGGCCTCTCCATGGGGATTCTCCCTGCAGCAGCACAGCTTTAACTCTTGTGCTAGTCTGGCTATATATTCTTGTATGTGCCAACTTGCACAATCATCACATTCCTCTGGGAAAAGCACTGCTTCTAAAACTCTTGACAGGTTTTTGACCATCATAAAAGATTAATGAACTCAAATTGCTCCTGAGTCACCCACAAAACACAAGTATATTTTATTCTGTTGATTTCTTGAGCATCGTAATGTATATAATAAATGAAAGTAGGCTTTGGTTTTAACATAGCTTGTATACTGCATTCAACATGTTGTCCATGTCTTTGTTGGAGGCAAAGTGACTTTTCTGTGTCTGAAACTTTTTGTTATTTATTTTATAAATTGATGACTATTGTAAGTTTTTAAGCTTTCTTTTGTTTCTGAAACCACAGGTAAAGTGGTGACCAAAGAGAAAATCAAGGAAGCCAAAGAAGTATATAGGGAGCATTTTCAAGATGATGTCTTCAACGAAAAGGGATGGAACTATATTTTGGAGGTAAACATTTATGAAAATAGTATGAGATCATCATGAGGGATTTATGAATCAACTGTAGAATAAATAGAGCAGTCTCTCCTTCTAACCATGATAGCAAAGACTGGATAAATTTAGCTTTTTATGTTTAGTGTACAGGGAGTAGCAGCTGTCAAAGAATAATCATATAATTGTAATTCCTTAGAGAAAAGTAATTTTCATCCTTTCAGATGCCAAATACGGCTTTGCAGGTAATAAGGATTTATGGCTGCCGTCAGCCAGCTAGTATGAGTGGGGGCTTGTTGGCAAGTCTCCATATGTAATACAGTGCTTAGTGGTTGCTTGCATCATTTACACTGCTTTCTGTAACTAATCATATCCATTTTTATTCTAATGCAGGAAGCACTACAACTTCTTGCGTGTGTAAGTAGTTCCAGAAAATACACGTTTTGTTCAGTCATTTCTTAAATTTTTCAGAGTTGAACTTTGTTATGGAATACAAGGCTCGAGCACTTCTGACACACAAATCCTTCCAAATTAAGTCTTTCCACAATTATCCTCTT